GAAGGAAGGAAGGAAGGAAGGAAGGAAGGAAGAAAGAAAGAAAGAAAGAAAGAAAGAAAGAAAGAAAGAAAGAAAGAAAGAAAGAAAGAAAGAAAACTATTAATGGAAAAAGAAGAAAAGAAGAACTTACTGACAGATGGGAATAAAAGTGGCCACTTTATTTTCGAGGGGAAAAAACAATGGTCAGATATAAAACAATTCCATGACCTACCTAACAGTGTCATTTTAGGTGCTACCTTTTTCTTTTCTTTCTCACTTTTTTGTTAGGAAGGGAAAACAAAAATCAAGAGAACATGAGGAATCTTTTCTCCTCCTTTTTTTCCTTAGTACTTATTGTTTAATCCTAAAAGGTTCTATCAGCTGTGGGATTCCAACTCCAAATCCCATTAATTTCCCAGAAAGTAAAGAAATGAAGAGCTTTGCTGGCATATCTATTGAAATGCTCTGCTGTATAAATATGTAGAAAGGGGCTCCTGGCGGACTTGTTTCACCAGACAGCGGGAGCACCCCGGTTCAGTTCCTCCTTCCCTCCAGTCTGCTGATCAAAAAGACCTCCCTTAATGGCCATTTATAGAAAGCAGCCTACATCACATTTTTCTTTCCCTTTATATTATTTGTGTTCATAGCATTTATCCTCAAAGATGTGTATTATACTGGTTTATTGATTAGTAGTATAATGGTTGATGACATTTAGTTCAAGAATAAATACTTGTTACTCAAAAATAATTATCTTAATCATGATCAATCTATAAACTGAACAAAGAAGCAAAGATGTGTTTATATGTTCTAATCAACAATTAATCTACCCGGATATGTTTGCTACCAAAATAGTCTCTATTAGAAATAAAATAAATAAAATCCTCGTATGAATAAAAATTTTAAAACCCTCACATGAAACATGAAGTAATATTAAGATATTGTTAAAATAATTAAAGATTGAAAGATATTTTTCTCTTTGCTTGTTTGTTTTTCTGGATCTAGAGCCACATCTTGAACTCTAAGCCTTCCTGCCTCAACACTCCCCTGACTGCTGGGATTACAAGTGTGTACCAACAGGCTTGGTTGATATTCCTTATCAATGATGACAGAAAATATGCCGTATGTGTCTCCTTGTGTTTTATTATTCAAATTTTGAAACACAAAGAGAACAAATTTGTAATAAACCTATTATCTAATTTCAATTATCATTTATTTATAGACAATCTTTCCAGTGTATTTATCTTACAGTTACTACTGCTATATTCCCCATACTACTACTATTACTCCTACAGTTATGAAAACGCATACTACAATTTAAAAGGAAAACTTGAATGTCCTGGTTCAGGTAAAAAGTTGTTTTCCCTTCATTTCAAAAGCATAGCTCATAATTTGAAAACAACTACTCTTAAAAACTTTTTCTTAAAAGACAAAAGGGGACTATGAAAAGATCATAATAATAAGAGAAGTAAAGTCAGAAGTCACCATGCAGGAATCTGGAAAGATCCTCCACGCTTTAGTGAATGGATGTGAGTGGGGCTAGTCTGCATCTGTGAGTTGTATACTAGACTAAGCTCACAGTTTTCACTGCAGTGTTTTCCAAGCCACATGGAATTCCCAGAACTGAACAGCATCCTGAAGCAGAGCTAACCTGATGGCACACAGAAGGAACACTGTGCTTGGTAAACCACCTGGAGCCCAACAGGAGTCACAAGAAAGATGAGGTTTCAATGAGCTCAATATGTGCATCTAGCCAGAAGTCCAAATCCTTCAAGTGAGAGCAACTAAGAAGGCCTCTCACCATCAGCACAACACTATAAGCTTGCTGAGAAATATGCTCAGGAGAAAATCAGTTACGAAATAAAAGCACATCATGATGGTTGTCTTGTGATATAAATTCTTTTTGTTCAGCTTATAATAAGAGTGAATGAAGCACAAATACCCTAAACTTTAAATTGCAACTTCCAAGTGTTTCTAGTAAAGAAATATGTAAATGTTTGCACTGGAGATAGTAGGCACAATGAAAAAGAGAGTAAACTTCAGAGCTGAAAAAAAAAAATCCGTATTCAAATTATGATTCTGCCAACTATTAAATCTTCAACAATTCATTTAATTCCTGTGATCCTCAATGATAATACTAGCATTTAACTCACATTTACCTCAAAATTCAACTTGACTGCATAGCAAAAGCAAAGTGAATTTTATATAGAGCATTAATATTCATTAATCAATAAATACATAATAGTCAACACACCAAGCTTACATTCTTCCATATAATATTTATAATATCATAAGAAAAGTTTGTTGAGGTATGTCAAAGTATTGAGAATAGAAATCTCGAGTATGAAAAATAAGTTGTCTAACATCCTTTAAAAATGGAAAACTTTTTACAGTTGGAACATAGCAGGGCTCATTAGACAGAAGAATGTGGTAATAATAATATTATATAGTAAAGCTAGGTATAGTGGTGCACATCTTTAATCCCAGCATTTGGGAGACAAAGGGGTAGGTCAATCTCTGTAAGTTTGAGGCTATCCTGGTCTACAAGTGAGTTCTCGAACAGCCAAGACTACCGAGAGAGACCCTGTCTCAAAAAAAAAAGCAAATAGTAATATGCATGTGTGTGAATATATACATGTGTTTGTAAGCAAAAATAATTCTGCCTTCTCACCTAATACTTAACTATTTAAATGCTATTAATACCAACAGTTTTGAGGACTATATTGACAGTTAGATTTAACTGTTGGTAATATGAAAACTGGAATTATCTGTTGAAAATTCAATAACTATCTGAGTATAAAGTAAAAACAGTTAGGGTCGTTTGTTTTATTTTTATCTTTACTGTTTAAAAACACTGTGCTTATAAGCCAAAGTTAACAGAAAAAAAATCTATCAGTTCTTTATGTTGAAATTAAGGGGTTAAGGAAAATTTAAGGAGGGTGTAAAGAAGCAGAAGCACACTATTCTCTTCCTTCTCTCTCCTCCTCCCCCTTCCCTCTCCTCTCCTCCCCTCTCCTCTTGTCTTCTTCTTCCTCTTCCTCCTCCTCTTCCTTCCTCCCCTCCCCTCCCCTCCCTCCCTCCCTCCCTCCCTCTCTCTCTCTCTCTCTCT